GGGTGTCAGGTGGTGAGGCAGGCTCACCAGAGCCAGGGTTTGAGATTCCAATGAGTCAAAGGCTTTCTTCCCTGTACCCAGTCTGCTGTAGATGCAGCCCTTCCCCCTTGAGTTGCCACACCCCTGGGATTCAACAATTCAACTTTCTCATTTCAGGGGCTACATCATGATGTAGCTGGATGTACTCCGGGATGGGAGGCAGGAGAGGATGGGTAGACAGTCCCAGTGTCTTCTGGGAATAGAGTCAGGCTAGACATCTCTGAAATTCTTCCTGCCTCCCACTTTGGTTCTCTGTAAGTAGCATTAAGCCACTTTCCAGTCCTACCAAAGATGACATTTTACTTTGGCGATTGGAATTTCCTGGTTAAGAGAAATGCTGAGAGGCTAGAAAATGGACAGATGTAATTTGGGAAAGGAGCCCTGTTGTCACAGTCGTTTAAGTGAAAGTTGAGCAGTTTGAACCCATCCAACGTTCTGTGGGAGAAATGTGGCAGTTTGCTCCTGTAAAGATTACAGCCTTGGAGACACTATGGGGTGGTTCTACTTTGTCCTATAGGGTCACTATGAGTCAGAACTAAGTGGCAATGGGTTTGGGGGTTTTTGGTTTCCTGGAGGTGGCAGCTTCGAGTTCTAATAAACAGAGAAGCAAAGACAGAGATGAGGAAACGATAAGGAGGAATAAGGAAAGATACTTGGCTAAAATTGGCATAGTGGAAACAGTCAAGGGGCAGAAGGGGAAGAGGCAAAGGCTTTGGTCAGAAATGGATCCAGATGGCACTGTTGGAGGGACTGGGACAAAGCTTGGGTGTGAAGAGTCGCACTGCCCAGGACAGCAGAGCTGAGGAAGCTGTGGTCCACACAGATCGGACTTAGAAACTACACAGGTGGCAAAGTTAATTAGGGTGCTTTCAGTTCCTGCCCCAAATCCTCTGGCCCTGGGGAGGGGCTCCAGTCAGGTCTTTACACTAGCTGGGGTGTTGGAGTTGCTGTCCAAGAAGCCACAGTATACTAAGGAAATGGTGAAAGTTCCGTGGGGCCTGGGTGAAGTGGTTAGGATGCTGGGACACTCTGCTGCTGGCTCCTATCTGTCCTGAGCTCTGGTGGTGTAGTGGTTAAAGCAGTCAGCTGCTAACCAAAAGGTCAGTGGTTCGAACTTCCCAAGCTGCTCCATGGGAGAAAGATGAGGCAGTCTGCTTCCTTAAAGATTTATAGCCTTGGAAACCCTTGGGGGCAGTCTTACTCTATCTTACAGGATCATTATGAGTCAGAATCAACTTGATGTCAGTGGTTTTTTTTTTTTTTTTAAGCTTTCAAAAGGAGCACTGGAGGCACAATGGTTATGTGCTTGCCACTAAATGAAAGGTGGGTGGTTTGACTCATCAGCCGCTCCACGGGAGAAAAATTTGGCAGTCTCTTTCCATTAAGATTACAGTGGGGAAGTTCTACTCTGTCCTACCGGGTCACCACAAGTCAGAATTGACTCAATGGCAATGGGTTTTTGGCCTCATCTTCTATTCAAGAGGGCACAGAAGACTAGTAGAGGATGGGTTCTCAGTTATGACTGGCCCCTAACCCTGAGTGCATTCATGGGGTGAGGTGCTGTGGGATCGGGGAAGCCCCCTAACCCTGAGCCAGTTATAGATCATCTGACTGAGGCTGTCTACTATATTAGCTGAGCAGGAAAAAGAAAACGGCTGTCAGAGCCAGCCATGGTGCTGAAGAGGCTAGAAACCAAATCAAACTCACTGCTGTGGAGTTGGTTCCGACTCATAGCAACCCCTAAGGCAGTATCTCTATGGAAGTAGATTGCCCAGTCTTCCTTCCAAGAGGCTAGAGCTGGAGGAAAAAGCTGGCCCTGCTGTGGGAGCATTTCTCTGTGTTCATAGCAAGACTTTCCATGTGCTTTGGTTTGGGGGAGGCTGTCCTTTCACAGATCTAAGAGTGGGCTGAGCCCAAAAAGGCCTGTCTGACGGCCATGGGAGGAGGGATGGCAGGACCATGAGAAGATGGAGTCAGCCGAAAAAGTCCTCCAGCTCCTGGCACGGTGGCCTCTGATGGGAGGAACAACCCTCTCAGCATAATCACCCCACATCTCGGATCTCAGCAGGCCCCAGGTCTCAGTTTGGGAGTGGATCAGTGGGATGGTGTGGGGTGCCCATGGTCGTGAGGGCAGCGGGGGCTCCACCACCTCTGGTCTCCCAGGCTGCAGCTGAGGCTCACAAGAGGACTGGGACCTTTTACCTGAGAAGGGCCCCATGGTAGAAGGAGGAGCCCTGGATTGGGAGGACAAGATCTTGGGTTGCTTCTGCCCCTAAATCCTTGTCGCCTCCCTTCCCTAGACCTCACATTCTTCTTTGGTTGAATCAAAATGCCAATCAGGAAAGGTCCCTGTAGTCCCTTCTAGTCTTAGAAGCTACATTTTTCAAAGCCCTTTACCTGCATGGTCTCATCTGTTCTGAACAATAGCCCTGTGTGCAAATAAGGAGACATTACTTCCATTTCATGAGCAACGCGGGGAACAGGGGCACAGAAAAAAGTTTCCCTACCAAAGATTGCACAGCCAGTTAGCATAGCATCCTCTGATGACACATCAGCACCTGGATTCTCTACCACCCCTTTGGCATGTGCACCCCAAGCTGCATGGAGCCTCAGTGGGAGGAAGAGGGCCATGAGCTCCCGCTCTGCCCCCCTCTAGCTGCCTTTACTCCTCCACAAACACCAAGTGGGTCGCTGTAGGCATCTCTGACCCTCTCCCCTCACCCTGTTCTGTCATGTCCTGAAGTTTCATTAAACCCTTTTTGTTTTCTGACTTCTATCTCTTGCTGCACAGTACGTCTCTCTCTCCCTTTTCTGTCTCTTCCCCTCCCTCGCTAAAGAATCAACCATGGTTGCCTCCCTGACTCTACTTTGAGATCTTTCTTGCACTTTAAGCCTCCTGCCTGGTATGGGTGAAGCCATCTGCTCCCCTCCCCTCCCCTCTGCCTCTCTTCCCACCTTTCCTCTTGCTCAGGAGGGAGTTTAGACCTACCAACAGAAGGAAGTGGAACCCCAACTCTGTTGACTCAGCAAACACATTTCTCCTGAAGCTGATTAGCACTGGAGTGGAAAGGAGGGGAATTCGCTAGTCACTGGAGCTGGCGCCTGGGCCAGGCTGGGAGTGGGGTGGAGTGGGATGTGTGGCAGCTTAGGGAACACGGCTTGAGAGAAGGGTCTGGAGGATTTCTGTGCCTCAGGGAGCTACAGGGCTCCCTTGGTAGGGAGAGGGACCCTGACAGGCACTAACTGCCTTGCACTAAACTCTTGTAGGAATGAGAGCACATGAGCCCCACGAAAGGCTGCATGGACGGGACCACAGGCATACCTGGGTCTGAGCAGCTTGGGGTCGCTCTCTGTTCTGAGCCCTGAGGACTATCCTGGGGCAGACACAGTCCTGCCTCAAGAGCACTTAGTCTGAAACAAAAATAATACAAGACAGATTCTGCCAGGTGGCTGGAGCCCCAGAGTGTGGCGCTTTGCCCTGGAGCAGGAGGCTGGCTGGCCCTGAAGTTCTGGGCAGAGAAGGGGGAAGCCTCACAGAGGGTAGGGGAGAGAATGGGGTCCTGACTGAGGCTGAGGGCCTAAGCACAAGAAGCTGGGAAAACAAGAGTCCTGAAGCCACTGAAAGGAGATCTCCATCCTCCTAAGGGGCTCACACACAGAGCTAGTAATACACAGTCCCCTTACCAGTCCTGTGCTTTCAGAGGCGGTGAAGGGGCCACCCTTCCACCACTTCTCTCCTTGCCCCTCTTTCTCTACTGGCATTCCTCTGCCCCTGGCTGCCTGGCTAGGGAAGGAGTACTTTGCACAGTGATGTCTGTGTCCCTTGCCTTGGTGTCTCCCAGCCCCTAGTCCACAGATGTGTGACCATCCCACTCCCCATTCAGATGTCTCTCAACCCTAGGCCCTTCTCCCCCAACTGCAATGGCAATTCACCTACTTGCCTTCCTCCATATGAGAGCAAGCAAGCCAGACACAGAGACAGAATGAGCCTGCAGGACTTGGATCCCTGTGGGGGGAGGTGGTTGGTGATGATTTATTAGCCAGACAAGGATCAACAAACAGGTTCTAACATCTGTTCTCACCAAACCTTTCCTCAGACAACAGCAGCATTGGACCAGGGCCCAGCATCAAAGGCTTATAGGGCCAAAGAAATTAGACTCCAGGAGGAGAAGCCAGGGCACAAGAGCCAGCAGAGCCCTCCTAGTCTACTTCCTTGCCATCTCAGAGGACTGCCAAGCACTGGGCCATTAGATTTCCAGAGACTTTCAAGAGGGGACAAGTGGCTGTGTCCCTAAGAGGAAGTGGATCTCATATTTGCTCCTCTGGCCTCCAGACTTCTTTAGGGGACCCAGATCTGCCAGAGGGACAGGGCTAAGCCTGTGATTCAAAGGAGAGGACCCAGCATCCAGGCCCCTATGTGGCAGCAGGCTGAAAAGCAGTCAGATTTCCTGTCTGAGGAAATCTCTGATGTTGCCTGTGAAGAAGAGTTAGTGATGTGGGGTAAGGAGCAGAGCACTAAACAGGGAAATCAGGAAGCCTGGATTCTAGCCCTTGGCATTGGTCAAACTACTCTCTCTCTCTCTCTGGGCTTTATTTCCTTATCTGCACAGTAAGGGACCTGACCAGTAAGGGCAAAGGACTGCTGCTCCTTCTCCCTCCCTCACCCATGGCAGACATCACTAATCAATCATAGTGCTGTTTTCTGCTGAGTTCAGATATGACCTTCACATCCTTTCCAATGCAACACTCTAGGCAGCCACGACCAATGGATTGGAGTTGGCATGCAAGGTGACATCTCTTTGCCATCCCTGCAACAGATGATGGCTGCTGAGGTCCTTTCCAGCTTTGATCACCTGTGGTTTTTTTCATCCACATTTCCTGACAAGGGTGCCCCGGTGTGTGTGAAGGTCTCTGGGCCTGATATTCCAAGTTATCCTCCCCCAGCTCAGACTCACCAGCTACTAAGGAGGTCCCAGAGGGAGCCTTGTTTGTCCTTGGTCCCGGAGTACCTGTTTAGAAAGGTTGTGGGGCAGGGTGTGTCCCCAGGGGTGTGGGGGCTGTTGAGGCAAGGGAGGGCCTTGTCCAGCCACAGAGTTCTCAGAATGCAGCTGCGGACCACCTGGATTCTGGAGGGAGAAGGACAAGCTCTAGGTCACACCCACCACTCCCTGCCTTTAGGCCTACCTGCAACCTTAAGGCCCAAAACTTCTGGTCTTAACAGACTTTGGTCTCTATGCAAAGATGGGGTCTATGCTCCTCTAAATCATTCATTCAACAAACATTTCCTGAGCCTGCTCTGTGCAGCACTGTGTTGGATACTTCAGATGAGCTCTTCCAGCTCCTGACCTCAGGGAGTTCACACTCTACTGGGGGGTGGAGAGACAGGGTGACACAGCAGGTGTGCATAAAGCACAGTGATGGATTCTGTGGTCAAGTCAAGGTGTCTTTTCTGAATCAGAGGAGTGTAGCTTAGTGCCTAAGGCACTTGACTGCTAACCAGAAGGCTGGTGGTTCAAACCCATTAGCCACTCCTCGGAAGGAAGATGGGGCAATCTACTTCCGCAGTAATACTGCCTCAGAAACCCAAGGAGGGGTCGCTATGAGTCAGGTCCGATTAGACGGTTGTCAGGCAGTGGGGAGGGTGAGCTTACAGGAAGTTATTATAGGAAGAGACTGGTGTGTACAAACCCTAGGAGGTTTGAAATCACTTGGTGTGTTTGGAGACATGTGAATAGTTCTGAGAGCAGCTAGAGGTAAAGCTGAGGAGATAAGATCTCCTATCTAAGTATGAAGGGCCTCATGGGCCAGGCAACTGTTTTAGAAAGATAACTCTGCTTTCTTTGGGACAGAGTGGATCAGAAGTTGCAAGATTGGTAGCTGGGAGACCAGTTAAGAAGCTCTTGGGAAGTAGATACACTCCTTGGAGAGAACAATCATGGGAGAAAGAAGGGCTGCTTATGCACAAGGAGACAGCTCAGGGGGCAGGAGTGCATGGAGGGATGGACACAGGGAAGAAGTAACTATGGGGAGGAAGTGGGAGGGGAGCCGTTGCGTTGTGGTAAACTGTGGTCAATGTCATGAGACAAAGTATATGTGAACCGCTGTATGGAAAGTGAATTTGCTCTGTGAACCTTCACCCAAATCACAATAAAAAAAGAGAAGCTCTTGGGAAAGTCTTGGTGAGAAATGATTGGGACTGGAACTGGGAAAAGGAAAAGTGTATTTAGAGGAGACCCAGAAGGAATTAGTGGCTTATGGGGGGATGAGGAAAGAGTTCTGGTAGCACAGTGCCTAAGGCATTTGACTGCTAACCAAAAGGTTGGCAGTTCAAACCCACCAGCTACTCCCCAGAAGGAAGTGGGGCAATGTACTTCCATAAAGATTTATCGCCTTGGAAACCCAATGGGGGTCACTATGAGTCGGAGTCGACTCAATGGCAGTGGGTTTTAAGTTTGGGGGGATGAAGAGGGAGGAGATGTAGAGGGAGGCTCTAAGATTCATGTTTGGATAGTTGGGTGACTGATGAGTTATCAGTCAGGATAGGAAACATGGGAGGAAGCAGTTCTGGAGGGGAAGAGTGAAAGCAATGTTGGCTGTCTTGAGTTTGAGGGGCTGTGGGACACAGGTGAGCTGACCAGAAGCCTGGAGAGAAGTTTGGATGGAGATATGGATTGCCAACATCAGCTCAAGGAAGGTGGTTGTGATGGTTATGTTTGTATATCACCCTGGCTAGGGCTGGTTGAGTGGCTGGGCAGCTGGATGTAGTATTCCCCATGATGAGACTGGTAATCAACTCCATGGTGGAATCTACTGGGTATGTGGTCTGCTTCTCGTATATAGGCAGGAGCTTTGGGAATGGTCTCTAGCCTATGGCATGCTTGGACCCTGTACGTAGCCGTTTCGTTGCTCAGCAGCCTGCTATGCTCTGCTGACCTTGGGACTTACAACGGACTTAAGTTAATGACCTGCCATGTGGTTTGGTAACATCGGGACTGTGCCTTTTTACTTGTCAACCTTGCGGGGGGGGGGGTGTCTCAGCTTCAGCAGCCAGCAGCTGTCTGAGTGAAGAAATGCCTCTAGGTCCTGTGGGCCATGAGCAGGAGGCAGAGCTGGACCCCAAGGTTGAGGGTCTTTCACCCAGCCCCTAGAGCCTGGCACTTTGAACTTGGACTTAAAGCCTCCAAATTGTAAGAATAAACTCTTGTTTATTAAGGCCATCCCATTTGTGGTATATTCCTGTCAGAGCAGCACTAGGGAGCCAGAACAGTGGTAGTTGGCAGGGTTGTGGATGAGCAGGCACAAGGGTTGAAGAGGAAGCCTGGACAGCAGGGAGGGAGGCTGGGGACAGAACCGCAGAGGCCAAGCAGGAGAGCAGGACGGGGGTGGCAGAGGCAGGGGGAACAGAAGTAGGTGGGAGGGCCAGTGGGTCTCAATATCACATGACATGAGATATAACTTGCACAGATCAGCCAGAAGCCAACTAGGGGAGGGCAGGGGAGGATGAGGAAGGGTGTGCAAGAGGGAGGGGGAGTGTGCGGAAGGAGTCTGTGAGTGCAGATGTTCCTGCCTCTAAACTCATCTGAGATAACACAGGGGCCTCAATCACTCTTCTTCAGGAGGCAGGGCCAGGAAGGCAGAGGGGAGCCAGAGCAGGAAGGGGCCAAGTTCAGACCAGGGAGAACAAGATGGGGGCGGAGCCAAGATTCATGGTGCACAATGGGGTGGGCCTCAGGCAGGGCTGCAGAGGATGTGATGGACAAGAAGAACACAAACAGAATGCAGCCTCTGGTGGGGAGGAGGACCCTGCCTCAGGCCACTGTTGCCTGTGTGAAGTAGGAGGAGATGGTATGTTGAGAAGTGGAGGGGGATGACCAAAGTGGGGCAGGTCTGTGACTTGGGAAGAAGGGAGGGAGCAGTCACTGGGCCTGGAAAAAAGTTGAGGGTAATGCTGGCGATCTGGACCAAAATGTCCATCCCTTGTCCCCTCAGACCTCTGACCTTCACTCTAGCCCAGGCATCCAATCTGAACACCTTCTCTATCTTCCCCAATCTAGTTTTCAGGACCTTCCCCTTGTGGAGTCATTTACCTGGCTTCCTGGGACAGGCCTGGACTGGCATTTCCGTAGGACTGGGTGCCCCGAGTTGGACCAAGGTCCGTCACTCCCCAAGGGCACCTCCACCTCTGCGTAAATGTTGCTGGGGGCTTCCCCGGGGCTGCCCCTGCCCATGGCATAGAAGTCAATTGGCTCATCAAGCTCTTGGTAGATGGGATTGGAGGGTTTGGGGGGTGGAGCCGGGCGGGGTCGCGGAGTGGGGCTCGCATAGACTTCAGGGGACAGCTGAGGTTTGGCCGGGATGGCAGGCTTAGGCCTGGATGGTTGGGAGGGCTAGGAGAGACAGCGAGGCCAGGGAGAAGAAACAGGTCAACTGAGTCTGGCCCAAAGCTGGAGCCTAAGCCCCAACTTGAGCCTCCTCCCCCTTTAGGCCCCACACTCTTTCCCAGCCTCGCCCTCCTTTTTGTCTGTGCCCTTCTCTCTCTCAGACCCCGCCTCCTTCCTCAGCCATTCCCTCCCAATACCTCCTTTGACTCCCTGGTCCCTTCTGTCTGCAGTGGGTCTGGGGCCTGTGCTTGTTTGAGGACTGCACTGTAAGAGATGTTTGGGTCCTGGGTTTTTCTTCCAGAATCTGCTTCTTCCATCCTCAAGGAAAGTCCAGCGGGCTCAGGAGTCTGCTGGGAAAGAAGGAGGCCTGAGGGACTAGGTTCAGGGGTATTCTAGGGGTAGGTGATCCAGGAGGACAAAATGACCTTGTTGAAGTGGAGAATGAGGGTGGTGGAGGCACAGAACTTTCGCCTGGGCTGGGAGGCTAGGTTCCTTGAGTAAAGAAGGGAAGATGGAGGTGGTAGCTCTGGTCACAGACCACATCTAGCATTGTATTTCATTTCATCTGGAAAACAGGGCTAGGCCAGTCTCCATTTGTGCCTATGGTTGTAAAAATGCAACAAGGCTTTAGAAGTCTTTAGCCTAAAACATTTCTGCATGGAGATGGAGCTCCATGACAGCTGTGCTCTGTTTATTTGGTCTTCCTCAGATGTGTGGTCTGAGTGGAATTGTCCTCTTCTCTGTCTGCAGGCACTGGCTTGTGGGTGTGCACACGAAATTGTACATTTGCCCTATAAATCCAAGCCTATGTGGACCCCTCATCCTGCCAAGGGCCTTCCCTGAGATCCCTGGAGAAACATAATTTATGAAGCTATAAACCAGATTTTTAAAGGGCAGAGTGACAGCCTCAGGGGAGCCTTAGGTTACTTCCCACAGTAGGTGTGCTTTTAGCCCAGCATTTAGCTCTGGGTTCATGGATGTTTGTCACATGCCCACTGCTTCTGGTAAACTGAGGTCACAGGGCTTAAACTAAGGTCACAGAGCTTTCCCCATGCTCCTGCAATATACCAAGGTCATGTCTCCACCTGGAGGTATACAAGCACTACAAGCTTCCTGGGTCCAAATCAGAATTCTTCTTTCCTCCCCAAACCTTCTCCTCCTTCAGGATTCCCTTTATGAATAAAATGCAGCATCTCCACCCTGCTGCTAAAACAGCACCTTAGGAGTCACCCTTGCCTCTCTCCCTCCTTCCCCACATCTACTCAAACACAAAGCCTGGCTCCTTCCACTGCCTAAGTGTCTCTCACATCTGCCTACTCCTCTCCATACCCACAGACGCCACTCCTGTTCAAGCCTCCTAACTGCTCCCCTGCATCCTCTCTTGCCCCTCTAGCCCATTCCCCACTCAGTGGGTGGAGTGAAATTACAGAAATTCCCCTAATAATCATTCAGTATATTCCTGCTGCCCCCAGGAGGAAGTCCAGCCTCCTGAGAGCATGCATGTCAAGACCCTGCATGGCTGGATGCATAACGCCTCCTACCTCCCACCGTTCTTCCTTTAGATCTCTCAGCTCTGGCTGGCTCCCCATCACCCTCAGATTTTCCTATACCTAGTTCCTGCTGCTTGAGAATCTTTAGGTCCCCACCTATTCTTCACAAAATTCCACAAAAGAGTTGCCCATAGGCACTATCTCTATTTTTTTTTTTTAATTGTGATTTGGGTGAAAGTTTACAGAGCAAATTCACTTTCCTACAGTAGTTCACTTTGTCTCATGACATTGACTACAATTTACCACAATGCAACAGCTCCCCTCCCACTTCCTCCCCATAGTTACCTCTTCCCTGTGTCCATCCCTCCATGCACTCCTGTCCCCTGAGCTGTCTCCCTGTGCATAAGCAGCCCTTCTTTCTCCCATGATTGTTCTCTCCAAGGACTATCCCCATTTCTTGATGGGGATGTCAGTCAAGCTTCATGAAAATTGCTCTTGTTAACATCACCAATGACCTCCTCTTCGCTAAATCCTGTGGTCAATTCCTGACCTATCGTCACTCTCTCTTCCTTGACTCATTTTCTTCACTTGGCGTCTGGGACATCATGCTCTCCTGATTTTCTTCCTCTGTCTGGCTGTTCCTTCTCAATTTTCTTTGTTAAGTTCCTCCTCACTTTTGCAAACTTGACATTCTGAAGACTTGGTCTTCCTCTCTTTTCTGTCTACACTCACTCCCTAGGTGATTTCAGCTCCCTGAAGGCTTTAGAGTCCATCCACATGTTGATGACTTCCAGACGTTTCTCTCCAGCTCAGACCTGTCCCAAACTCTGTCCAGACTCCTGCATCCTACTGCCTACTTGACATCTCCATTTCGATGTTCAACAGACATCTCAAACTGCAAACTGAACTCCTCTTCTCCCCTGTGTGCAGACTTGCTCCTCCTACAGGCTTGCTCATCTCAGTGAATAACAACTCATTCTTTCACACTCCTGACCCATTCCTCAAAAAATCTGTCAGCTTCACCTTCAAAACAGATCCAGCATTCCACCCCTCCTCAAACCTCCACCTCTATCACTGTGGTCCAAGCCACCATCATTTCACCTGAAATATTATAGTAGTCTCCATCTGCACCCTTGCCCCTCCCAAACTTATCAGGTTATGTCACTCCTCAGTTTAACTCTCCAATGCCCTTTCGTCTTGTTCAGAATAAAATCCTAAATCCTTACAAGTCTTACAGAGTCCCCTCCTGCTACTGCTCTGTTGTCATTCCTTCCCTCTCTACCCTTCAGTCACCCAGGTGGTTTTCTTACTGCTCTTACTACTCATCAAACACATCAAGCTTCCTCCTACCTCAGAGCCTTTGCACCTGCTGTTCCCTCTGCCTGGAATGCTTTCTACTCTGTCCTCTATGGTTCTCTTCCTTAGTTCATTCAGGCCTCCATTACAATGTCCCCTTACTAGAAAGGCCTTCTCTGATATTCCTATGTAAAATAGCCCCACCCTTGTCACTCATTCCTATTGCTGCTTGGTTTTTCTTCTTAGTTCTTACTTATCATTACCTGACATATGTTTTATTTACTTGTTTATCATATTTATTCATTGTCCTTCTACTAAAATGTAAGCTCAGTGAAGGCAGAGATACTTTGGTCACTTTTGTTCACTACTAGGAGCCCTGATGGTGCAATGGTTAAAGTGATTGGTTGTTAACCAAAAGGTCAGTAGTTCAAATCCACCAGCCACTCTATAGGAGAAAGATATGGCAGTCTGCTTCTGTAAAGGTTTACAGCCTTGTAAACCCTGTGGTGCAGAGTGTCCTATAGGGTTGCTATGAGTTGGAATTGACTCGATGATAGTGGGTTTTGTTTTTTTGTGTGCGTTCACTGCTATTCTCCTGTATCCAGAAAGATGCCCAGCACATAGTAGCCCTTTAGAACTGCATCAGCCTCCTCAGGGAGACACTCCCTGATACAGTGCCCAAGTGAGCTGAGTTCCCCAAGTGAACTAAATGGCACCTCACCCTGTATTTCCTCTCTCATCACCTGCTCTAGGCTTGACTTCTATTACTTGTCTATCTTTGCTGCTGGAAAGTTAGCTTTGTGAGTTTGAGACCCACTTGTCTCATTCACTGCTCAATTTTCAGGGCCTGTCAGGCCCTGGTACATGGTACTCATTGCCATTGAGTTGAATCCAACTCATAGGGACCCCTCCTTGGGTTTCTGAAGCGGTGTTCTATGAAGTAGATCACCCAGTCTTTCTTCCAAAGAGTGATAGGCACTCAGTAAATGTCTCTAAATTTAATTTTTAAATAACTGTGTGCCTGGCTGGTCTCTCTGGCCTCTCCTGTCTTTGTGTGGCTGGTCTGGTTTTGCAAGAACCCCTTCCTCAGCACCCACGCTTCTCGAAGGGCTTCCCACGGAGATGTGCGGGCAAGGGAAGCATTGCTGGGTCCTCTGCTGGGATTAGAAAGTGTCTGGCATCGTGGTCCCTAGGGCCTGGGCTCTGGCTGGGTGGAAAGAGGAGCTGGCCTGAGTCGCTGGGGTCTCCAGTCCAGGTCCAGGGGGCGTACCTGGCGGGCGCAGGGCTCGGTGAGCTTTTCCCCGTAGGGGCTGATCGGGCACGCCGTGTAGTGTCGCAGCAGGTCCTGCAGCCGCGCGTGGGCGCTGTCCTCCCCCAGCACCACGTGGCGCCCGTCCCCGAGCTGGGCCAGCAGGAAGTGGCGGCAGCAAGTCCGGCTCCTGGGATCAGACCCATTTCCCCCACTTGGCCAGGGCCACCAGCGCGAGGAGTGACCTTTCCCATTTCTCCCCGCCGGGGTCTCCCACCATTCGCACCCCTGGGGCTATGCGAAGAGCCCTGCCCTCGGGTCTGGCAGCGCAAAGCACCGCCACCCACACGTCTGTCAGCACGCAGCCCCTCCTCCCAGCCAGGGCCCCGCCTCTCACCTGTAAGTCAGCACAAAGGTTATGGCGCTTTCGCTGAATCGCACCAAGTAGCATCCTTGAGGCTTAGTCTCCAGCAGTCTCTCGGCCTCCCTGTGGGTAGCGGAGAGAAGAGACAGAAGTCTAGTCTCGCTCTTCGGGCCTTGCTGTCTGTCTCCCTGGATCTCTGGGGCGGGGGCGGGGATCGGTCCATCTCCCAGCCCAGTCCTACACACCCTCATCCTGAAAGGGCGGCCTGAAGGGGCTGGGGCTGGGGCTGCAGCAACAGGAATGGAAGTTAGACTTCTGGATTTTGGAAGTCCCAAGCCGAACTGAGGAGGTAAACCAAGAGATAGAAACGCAGCCAGGCTGAGCAATAGAGGAGATAAAGAATGACAAGGAGACAGGGAGCCAAAGGAGGAGAGGGCGGGAAGGAGCCAGAGGTAAAGATGGAGAGAGAGACAGAGAGGCGGGAAGTATGAAGGCCTTAAAGACGGGAGGATAATGGAGACTAAGAGGGGAAACAAAGGCATGCAGGCAGTTAGACTGGAGTCTCTCTGGAGTCTCTCCCCCCAGGAGAGATGCTTTAGTGAATGGCCTAGGAGTTGGGAGATGGGAATTGTAGCCTTAGTCTGCCCAGACTGGGGAGGGACCTCCACCCCTCTCTGGACCTATTTCCTCTTTGGTGACTCACCTCCGGGTGATGAAGCCATGGAACCAGGCAGGGGCTGCCCCGTGCTGCAGAAGCCAATGGGCCTGGGTCTTCAGGAACCACGCCCGAGTCTCAGCCTGCAGGTTCAGACCTCCTTCCCCAGGCACCTCCTCAGCCTTCCCAGCACCCTCTGAATTGGAGGTAGCCCCCCGGGCCTGGAGAGACGCCTGCTAGGGGAAGAATTCAAGGAGGGAGAAGCAGCCATGATTGGCAGGCCTTCCCCAACTCCAAGCCAGCCCTCACCTTCTCATCCCCATACCCAGCTCCTCCTAGGCATGGGGAAGAAGCCCCTCTCAGACCAGTTGCCTGTTTTAGGGTGCAGTTACCCAGAAAGTGCTTCCCAAGGTCAAATTTAAATCTGATCTTCAGCACTAGCTGTTTTGATTTCCAACAGGGCTTTGAACCAGTTCTTTCCGGTTCAGTCATGGACAAGAAAACGAAACTGGAACAGACCTGAGTTTGAAAAAAGTGGGTGTACTGGAAAGATAAATGAAACAGGAAAACTTATGGGTTGACACCCTGCTAGAACTTCATCTCTCTCTTAGAAAACAAGGGTAGTGTGCCCATTGCATAGCTACCAAATCTCTTGACCAACAGAGGCAGAAACAATGGTGCCCAGCTCAACGATGATCATGCCACTCTGAATGTATTGCTCTGCACAGTCCTGGCAATAATCCAGTCTCTGGAATCAGGCTCTTGGAAAGGGCTCACTATGCCTCTTTCAAGCCTCCTATTCCTGGGATTCAACTTATAATTTTTCCCATTCCAGTTATCATTGGGGTTCACCCACATTTTACAAATTCAATTCTGTTCCACATTTCCTGCATCAGCCAGGACCGAACTGGTTTAAAGCCCTGGTTTCCAGGGAGTCTCCTACTACTTCCTTTTGGGTCATGAGGGCCTTAAATCCAAGAGCAGCAAGCCGTTAGACTGAGCTTAAATGGGGGCAAGACAGGGAATGAGGCCTTCCAGGATGAAGGGAGATGATGCAGGTCGCCTAGAGGCTGGGATGATGGAGGGCTCCCTCGGCAATAGGAGGGATCGAAGCTGAGCTGAAGGGAGGATTTTCTAGTGACTGGGAGGCATGAGGGGAGTCCCTGAGTGGCACATATTATTAACGAACTTGGCTGGTTACTGAAAGGTTGCAGGTTCAAATCCACTCAGGTGCCTTGGGAGAAAGGCCTGGTGATTTACTTCTGAAAAATCAGCTGCTGAAGCCCTATGGAGCCCACTTTCTACTCTGACACACAAGGAATCGCCAGGAGTTGGCACTGACTCTATAGCAGGTGGTTTGGGAGGGTGAGGAGAACTGAGACAGGGTCCTGGGATGCAAGGGGCAAATGAAAGCCACTGACACAGATTTGCTGGTGACTGCTTATTGGACTAAATGCACCATTACCTATTAACTTGTGGACTCAGCCTGAGCTTCCAGGGCAAGAGGAGCAGTGTGTGGATGAGGGGGCAGCTCAGCCAAGAAAAAGCTACTTCCTCTCTCTTTCCCCGCCTCAGCTCCCCTAGCCCAGTGGGCAGATCACTCCTGCTCTGTCTTCCTGTTATCTGTCTGTAAGCCCTCACCTGTGGGAGGGTGGGAGCAGATGGAGAGGGTACATCTCTCCAAGTTCCTACTCACCGTGGCCTTGATATCCACAGCCCTGGGGCTGGGCTGGGCCTCTTCAGCCTCCAGGGTCTGCGACCTCCTGCGAGTCAAACCCGTGGGCAGGAAGGTGCTGAAGCTTAAGCTGGGGGCTTGGCAACTCCCTGTTAGTATAAAGAAGACTGCTGGGGTTTCTTAGTGAGGGGTTACCTCTCCCTCTGCCTCCCACCCCTCTCCACAGGCCCTGAGGCCCTGCAGCCTCTGACAAGGGACCAGGAGAAATACAGGAGGGATGGCAGTAGGATTTCTCAAGGATGAGGGGTAAGGAGCCAAGGAAACGGAAAGGCTAATACTGTTTGGGGGGTGTCATGAGAGCTGAATGCCAGGAAGGAGGGCCTGGGAACTAAGCAGGCTTTCTGATGGACCCAAAGTCTCACCAGCAGGGAGACAGATTTCTTCCAGCCTAGGGCCCTCCACCTCCTATCCCCCTTCCTCCTCCTAGATCCTTCCTCTGTAGGAACCACTCAGCAAACCCTATCACCTTTGTCTCAGGGATGAGTGAACAAGGAGCCTCCGAGGAAGAAGGGATTGTGGGTGCCTTGTCAGTCAACCTTGCCAGCTCTGGCTTGGGTTGGGAGCTCAAGCTCAGGAGAGACAACTGGGATGGTGGGGGGGAGTGTCCTAATGTCCCCTCCTTCCATATTCTTCCCACTTACCTTGGGGATATATCTGAGCCCAAGGGAGCTCCATGGAGGCAGTTTAAGGAGTCACCCGGCTGTGTGTCTGTGCTCAGGAAAGGTGTGCATACTCAGCAACTCATTTTTCCCCTTACTCCGGCCCCCGGGGGCAGGAAGTGTCGCCTCACCCACAGCCTAGACCTAGCAGAGAACCCACGTCATGGAAAGCCGTAAGACGGTTGGTTGTCCCTCCCCCTGGAAGCCAGACAGCTGAAGGTGGTGGTGGTGGGTATTTATGTCACTCTGTATTTGGGTGTTGGGGGTCCTTCCTGCTATCTGACCTCCATCCCTCCTGATATTTTCTCCACTCCCTCACTCCAGGCTGGGACTTCCCTTTCTCTCTCTGGGCTTCTGCTTTCTAACTGGAAAATTTCCTCTTCTCTCTCAGGGTCTGTTCTGAATAGTGGGAATGGGGATGTCTACCTCAGAAGGATCAGCCCTATCAGGGGCCTGGGACTCCTCAAGATTCGTAAATGGGATTATGCTCTAAGTGCATATGAGGAGGGGAGAGGCTGGGCTGCAACAAGGAAGGACGTGGGCCAGACTTCTGGAAGGACTTTCTGGGGTAATTTAAAAACTATGAGACAAACAGGGAGGGAGATGGGGACCTGGCTTCCATCCTCAAGCAGATTATGGAGCTGGGTTAGGGCAAAACCAGGCCTTTCTGGAGAAAAGGAAGGGAAATTACCTTCAACAAAGCAGAAACAAAGAAACAAACAAACAAACCTGTTGCCATAGATTCCAACTCATAGCAACCCTGTGGGACAGAGTGGAACTGCCCAATAGGGTTTCCAAGGCTGTAATTTTTACTGCAGGAACTCTGGTGGCTTAGAGCCTAAGGCATTTGACTGCTAACCAGAAGGCTGGTGGTTCAAACCCACTAGCCACTCCTCAGAAGAAAGGTTGGGCAATCTACTTCTATAGTGAAACTGCCTCAGAAACCCAATCTACTTCCATAGTGAAACTGCCTCACTATGAGTGGGAATTGAGTTGATAGCAGTGAGGTTTTTTTTTTTTTTTTTTTTTAACAGCAATAACAATCTTAACTGAAGCAGACTACCACCACATCTTTGTCCCATGGAGCAGCTAGTAGGTTCAAAGAGCTGATGTTTCAGTTAGCAGCTGAGCACTTAACCACGGCACCACCAGGGATCACTGCCAGCTAAGCTGGTTGTTGTTAATACAACACCCTTAGTAGTTACTATTAATGACATCGACACTGATTGATGTCTTACAATTTGCAGTGTGCTTTATCCCCCCTCCCTACAACAGAAGACCAATCCTATTTCTTTGTCATATAATCCTCACAAGCTAAGAAGAGGAAAGGAAACGTTTTCATTTTCCAGAGGGGCAAACTTAGGCTGAGAGCAGTTCAGTGCCTTGGCCTGGGTCTTTCAGAGTCTCTGAAGTTAGTGGCAGAGCTGGGACTAGAGTTCCTTTCAACACTTTCACCATGATTTAGGACAACAGTCCATGATTATGTGCCAGGCACTATTCCTGAGGCTGAGAATCCAGAGAGAAAAAGGACCTTGTCCCTGTCCTCAAGATGTCAGGTGCAGGAGATACACTTGCCAGCAGATACTTATTAAAGATGGTGGTGAGTTAGTGGTGTGGGCTGGTGCTGTGGGAGCTGGAGTGTGGTAGCAATAGCATTGAACCTCATCTAACTTCAAGGGGATGAGGATTAGCATCAGCATTAGCCCAAGGCTGATTCCAGTGAGATCGAGGGCAGATGTACCTCCTCTCTCCAATTTTTTTTACCAATTCTGACACCAATTGTCTTTCCCACGATGCTTTCTACTTCTCTGTTGGGTTTGATAATTTGTTAGAACAGCCACACAGAATCACAGACCATACTCATAGTTGTGTGGCTTATTAGGAAAGTAACATGGTGTGGTAGTTGTGTGTCAACTTGGCTGGGCCTGGTTGAGTGGCTGGGCAGCTGGATGTAGTTATTCCCCATGATGAGACTGGTAATCAACTCCATGGTGGAGTCTACTGGAGCAGCTGAGTAGCTGCCTTAGGGATGTGGTCTGTTTCCCGTATATAAGAAGAGCTTTGAGGAAGGTCTTTAGCTTTTGGCACACTTGAATCCTACATGTAGCCGAGTCGTTCAGCAGTCTGCTATGTCTGCCAATCTTGGGACTGTTGATAGACTTGAATCAGTGGCCCGCTGTGTGGTTTGATAATCTTGGGACTGTGCCATTGTACTTGTCGACCTTGGGTTTGTCAGCCTCAGCAGCCAGCAGCTGCCTGAATGAAGAGACAGGCCTCCAGCCCCAGTGGGCTGGGAGCAAAAGGCAGAGCTGAAGCTCAAGGTCGAGGGGCTTTCACCTAGCCCCTAGAGCTGTACTTTAAACTTGGACTTCTAACCTCCTAAGCAGTAAGAGAATAAATCCCTGTTTGTTGAAGGCATCCACTTGTGGTATTTTCTGTTAGAGTGGCACTACCAAAAACCAAAACCAAACTCACTGCCATCGAGTTGTATCCAACTCATGGAGACCTGTCCTTGGGTTTCTGAGGCAGTATCGTTATGGAGATAGATCTCCCAACCTTCCTTCTGAGGACTAGAGGACCAAAATACAGGATCAACAGGCTACAAATGGAGATCAGGATCAGGAAGTATGTAGGCAGTCTCCCTTCTTCAGTGCTGTTGTTGTTGTTGTTAAGTGCTGTCGAGTCGTTTCCGACTCATAGCGACCCCATCCACAGCAGAACGAAACACTGCCCGATCCTGCGCCAGCCCCACAATCCCTGCTATACTTGAGCCCGTCATTGCAGCCACCGTATCAATCCATCTCGTTGAA